ATACTTATTAGCAAGAGATACTATCGCTCTTTCATACAAACTATAATGTTAAAACATCTTTGGCATAAAAGAGTTATTAAGGTCCACTCCACAAAAGCAATATCATAACAACTCACTGCCACTACCTTCACAGCTTGTGAATTTAGGGAAAATATTAAAGATAATTGTCCTTCTTGAGTAAATTATTTGGGCAATTTCTCATGGGAATTAGAAGGCATTTTCACAGAAATCACTTTGTCTTATGTCGTGGTTTAAACCCAGTCAGGTAACTTGTTCACTCACTCCCAGTGAGTGGGGCCGAGCTGACAACAATAGAGGTCCGTGTCCGTGTCCCCCCCCCCCCCCCCCCCGCACCAGGGCTCTCCCCTTCCCCGCTCCCGGAGGAATGGGGAGGAGGATCGAGAGAGTGCAACTCCTACGGGTTGAGACAAGAACAGTCCAGCAACCAATGTACAACACAAATCACCACTGCTACTATCAACTACAACAATGGTAAGGGAAAATAACAAGGGAAGAGAATACGATACCACCGGCCAAGAAAACGAGTCCCACCTGGAAGCCCGTGTCCTTCCGGGTAACTCCCAGTTACCCCTCACCCCAGGCATGACGTGCTGTGGTATGGAATACCTCCCCAGCTAGCCCGGGTCAGGCGCCCCGTCCCTGCTTCCTCACAGCTTCCCCTCCTCCCTGGCAGAGCATGAGCCTCACAAAGTCCTTGGTCAGGGTAAACATCACTTAGCAACAACCGAAAACATCGGCTTCACCAACACTGTTCTCAGGCTGGAAGTCAAAACACAGCACTGCACCAGCTACCACAAAGGAAAAAGCATGACTGCTACTGCTGAACCCAGGACATCTTATTAACTAACAATTCAAGCCCACTTCAGATATTGAGATCACAATTTAAAGAAACACATTTTCAGGCCTTCAGTGCTACTGTCAGCAAAATCAAACTCAAGCCATTGCTAAAGCTGTACCCTTAACCATGGGGCAGCAGGTAGAACACCCAGATAAGCCTTCTCCTTCTCTGTGAACCTCCAGAACAGCCATTTAACACACTGGTATGGAGAAACTGTTATTTTAACTAACCAGACTTAGTTACCCAAGCATGTGTATTTTACAGTCTCTCATAACACCATCACAGAGAAACTGGTGAAATATAGTCCAGAAAAACAGACAGTTAAATGGACTAGCCAACCTGCTAGGCTCAAAGGGCTTTAATGATCAGTAACACAAAATCCTCCTGTAGGCCAGTCACTAGCAGTGTAACCCAGAAATGAATACTGTCTCCAGCCCTGTTCAACATCTTCACTGATGAACCAGAGCACTGAAGGAGGGAGGAGTGGCCAATACACCAGAGAGTCATGCATCCATCTAGAAGGAGCTTGACAGGCTGGAGAAAGTGGCTGACACAGACCTCATGCAGTTGAGCCAAGTTTAACACAATGTTCTGCATCTGGGAAGGGACAACCCCATGCACTAGTATAGGATAGGGGCTGGCCAACTGGGAAGTAGTTTTGCAGTAAAGGCCCTGGTGGAAAAAGTGAACAGGAGCCAGCAGTGTGGACTCATGGCAAAGGCAGCCAGGGGCATCCTTGAGGAACAGCATCACCAGCAGGTTGAGAGACACAATCCCTCAGCTTCCAGTTAGGACTGACAAGGCCACACCTGGAGTGCTGTGTCCAGTTCTGGGCAACCCAGTACAAGAGACACATGGACACACTGGTGCAAGTACAGAAAAGGGCTACAAAGATGACTGAGGGGCTAGATCATGCACCATACAAGGAAAGGTGGGACTTCTTATAGACTGAATAAGAGAAGGCTTGCTGGGGAACAGGTAGAACATTATCAATATGTATGAGATTCATCAACATGCTTGTGAGGTGGGCTGATGCCAACCTCATGAGGTTTAACCATGACAAGTGCAAGGTCCTACACCTGGGTCGGAGCAATCCCAGGCACAGCTACAGGCTGGGCAGAGAAGAGATTCAGAGCATCCCTGCGGAGAGGACTTTTGGTTGTTTGTTGATGAGAAAATGAACATGAGCAGGCAGTGTGCGCTTGCAGCCCAACCATATCCTGGGCTGCATCAAAAGGAGAGTGACCAGCAGGTCGAAGGAGGTGATCCTACCCCTCTACTCTGCTTTTCATGAGACCTCACCTGGAGTATTGTGTGCAGTTCTGGTGTCCTCAACATAAAAAGGACATGGAACTGTTGGAACAAGTCCAGAGGGCCACGAGGATGATCAGGGGACTGGAGCACCTCCCATATGAAGACAGGCTGAGAAAAGTTGGGGCTGTTCAGCCTGGAGAAGAGAAGGCTGCATGGAGACCTCATAGCAGCCTTCCAGTATCTGAAGGGGGCCTATAAGGATGCTGCGGAGGGACTCTTCATTGGGGATTGTAGTAACAAGACGAGGGGTAACGGGTTAAAACTTAAACAGGGGAAGTTTAGATGGGATGCAAGGAGGAAATTCTTTCCTGTTAGGGTGGTGAGACACTGGAATGGGTTGCCCAGGGAGGCTGTGAATGCTCCATCCCTGGCAGCGTTCAAGGCCAGGCTGGACAAAGCCTTGGGTGAGATGGTTCAGTGTGAGGTTTCCCTGCCTATGGCAGTGGGGTTGGAACTAGAGGATCCTGAGGTCCTTTCCAACCCTAACTATTCTATGATTCTGTGGGGTGAAGGCAGAGAAGAGTGCCATACTCAGTGGTATCGACTGACACGGTAAGTGGCAATGGGCATAAGCTGAACCACAAGAAATTCTATCTGAAGAGAACACTTGCTTGATCATGAGGGTGGTCAAACATGGGAAAAACCACACCCAAGCAACTGTGGAGTACCTCCATGGAGGTACTCAAAACCTGACTGATCAGGCTGTGCCAGGCGCCCTGATCTAGCTGACCCTGCTTAACTAGTGGGTTGGGTTATACTACATGACCTCCAAAGGCTCCTTCCCATCTCAACCATCCTGTGATTCTATATTAATCTCACAGGAAAAAAGCTGGGTGAGACAGTAAAAAAAAAATAAAAAATTAGTAAGCCTGCTTTTACTGTCAAATTGTTTAATTACCATTCTTGTAACTGCCACATGTAATAAAAGCTATATTATATAGGAATAACTTTTCTAGAAATAGCTAGGTTCTCTAAAATTAGGTATCACAGAAAGTGATTAATTAACATACTTGATCATTTTGTGATCAAAATACATTAATACTGTTGCAATACAAATGTTAGTAACCAAGCAGGGGAAAAAAAAAAAAAAAAAAGCTATCTGAAGTCAGGATATAAAAGATGTATTAAAATCCACCAGAAATCCTTAATCTCTTCTATAATGAGATCGAGATGCTTAGTACAATGCAATCCAGCTCCTCAACTTGAGTTGAGGATACACCATGCTTGCAAAAGGAATTAAATGCAACTGAATTTAGCCAGTCTGAATATAAATAATCCATGGAAAACTAAAGAATATAACACAGAAGTCTGCAAGAGAGCACCTCTGATTTAAAAAAAATGCTAGCTTTCATAATTTTTTTTCCCTCTTGAAATGGACTGCTGTAAGCCTGTACAGCTGACCAATCAGTTTTCAAGTTCTTTTTCTTTATTCCTGAAAATACCTAGCTTTATGGCACACAAGCATGGTTCAAGGAAAAAAGAACTCTTATTAAGGGAAGCCAACTTGTAAAGCAAATTAATCACTGGCACTCCAGAACCAAAAGAAGTCCCAGAGCAACAGCACGGTTTTGTAGATAAAACACTGGACTACAACCAACTTTGGTACCTGCACAGATGTAAAGGTGTAGCTTTACATAGAGTTGACTCAACTGGGAAGGGCTACACGGAGGAATCATAGAAGCAGATTCCCATCTTTCATCTAAAACAAAAGGTTATGGCTTCCTGGAAAGAAATGGATGAAGAATTTAAGTATAATCATGTATCACTGATGCTAGATTATGAATGTGTATTAATGGACCTCACAGAACAAAGCAACTATACTCAGTCATTCTTGATATAGTCTTTAAGTACCTGTTAACAGAGACATGAGAAGTAATACATTTGCTGCATCACAGGTCAGATACATGACCCATTCCAGTCTGTCTTTCCTGTCTTCTCCTCTCTTCTACCCCACTTCACATTAGCCCAATCTTCAATTTTCAAGTTTTTCCTTTCAAGTTTTTTGGTCAATAGTTCACATAAGCCACACGCCTCCTATCCCAAGTTTTCTAGCCCCTTACCTGATCCACATCAGATCACCCCCAGACTTCACAGGATTTCTCTCTCTCCTAGCTGTACATCCCCACTGGCTTATGGTCCCAACAGTATCTACATATGCCACATTTCTCTGCCAACTGGCTTTCTACAGCGGACTTACTTTCTCCTCTTCTCCTTGGTTCACCTACTTTTTCTCAAGTTCTCTTTCAGTCTCAGCTTCTTGATTCTTTATTGTCTTTACAGCAAGGCAACACCTCAACCCTGACATAGAAGACTTTACCACCAACACTTAATAATTTGTCAACATTATAAGCTACAGACCTCAGAAACTTACTGTGGGAAGTATCAGACAGCTTTTTTAAGATATAACAAAGGAATTCTTTACTGTAAGGATGGTGAGAGAGTGAAACAAGGTGGCCAAAGAAGGGGTAAATGCTCCATCCCCGACAGTGTTCAAGGCCAGGTTGCACAGCCTTAGGCAGCATGGTCTAGTGTGAGGTGTCCCTGCCTATGGCAGGGGGGTTGGAACTAGATGATCTTAAGGTCCTTTCCAACTCTAACCACTCTGACTCTATGATCAACATCCTGTAGTTTAGAAATGTACCTTGGAGTTACTTCTGCCTAACGTCTACATACCTGTACATGAATTCATGTTAGTTTCACTGAACGCGCTTTTAATAAAACAGAATGAGAAGGAGAAAGAGAACAGATTCTGAAATAAAGAATAATTAAGAGACAGAGGGAAATGAAAAAATGAGTGACAGAAGAAACAAAATATGAATTTACTTACACTATCTTGGCAGATTACACCATCTTTCTTTGATGAAATAGAAAATCCTTCCATCAGACAAAAGAAAATGCAGCAGACCTGTCGGGGTGGCAGAATTTGGTATATTTTCACCCATCCTACAGCATGGAAAATTACTAAACATGAAGAAACTGGATTAGAAGATGTTAAAAAAAAATCTATACGAGTGATTAAACAAAGACAAATGTGACTAGCATTGAAATGAGTGGAGCGACAGTTTCATTAACTAGGAGTGTTTCAAAAACGTAGCCTTAGCATTTGCATAAAGGAAATTAACACAAAATATTGGAGAGAACCTATAGAATCTGCTGAAGCAAGGCTGAAGAGGTACTGCTCATTCACAGGAAGATCACAGTGCCTTAAGAAAGAAATGGGTAATTTTGACAATCAAATCAACATAAGTATCTTTTTGTTTGTTTCTGTTTTTATTCCTGTTTTTATGTTGAGCACTTCAGGACTGCCTGCTCTTAGCTACCAGTTTATCAGCTGGAAAGAACAGATCTATTAGGCAATTACATGATCACAGCTACTGTGATGTGCTCAAAATAACAAACAACAATAATAAAAAAGTGATTTTAAGGTGTACTTAGTAATTTCAACTTTCCTCTATTACAGATCTGCTTTTATTAGTGTCACTGTCTCCATGTACAACAGCAAGTACAGTACCAGTCAACATGTACAAGAAAGGTTTGTTCAAACTGTAAGCAGTAGGAGAAGGGGCTACTGGAGTCACAGAAAGATCTCAAGTTGGAAGGGACCCATAAGGGTCCTCGAGTCCAACTCCCTGCTCCTTGCAGGGCTACCTAAAACTAAACCATATGGCTAAGAACGTTGTTCAGATGCACCTTAAATTCTGACAGGCTTGGTGCCAGGACCACTTCTCTGGGGATCCTGTTCCAGTGACCAACCACCCTGTCAGTGAAGAACCTCATTTCAGGTCTGAACTACCCCTGATGCAGCTTCATTCCATTTCCTCGTGTCCTGTCACTGGTTACCAGAGAAAGGAGATCAGCACCTCCCACCCCACTGACCCCTCTTGAGGAAGCTGTAGGCTGCCATGAGGTCATCCCTCAGCCTTCTCTTAATTTTCCAAGTACGTAATGAGACAAAGACAGGCTGGATTGTTCAGCCTAGCAACATAAAGTCTAAAAGCAAACATTATTGCTGTCTATAAACAAACTGAAGTATATCCATCAATCACAGGGAAAGAACACAGAATTAAGCTACTGAATGATACTAAACAAGAACGAATGAGTGTATAAAGGCCATGAATAATTTAGGCCGGAAATTAGACATTTAGACATTTTTTAAATAAGCCAGAAGGAATATGCTGTGGATCATCATTTTTAAGATGAGTAATTGTTTTATTATATGGATTGAAAGACATTCTTTGCAGGCCTGCAACAGAAAGCAAATGTACAGCCACTAAAATACTCGTTCACATACTTGGGTGGAAGGGATAAAAGTGAAACAAATCTTCTACAGTTTTATAGGGGTCCTATAGGATTAATCTAGCTCTGTGCCTAACAAAGAAAAAAAATGGAAAAAGAAAAAAAAAGTTTCAGTGTAAACATTTCTTCATAATCCCTTTTTGTTTCTAAGTATGAAAGACTAATAATGCTATTTTCTTCCTAAGTATAAAAGACCTGAGGCATATGCAAACACAGAAGACTGAAAATTAGTAGGCCTCTTGCAACATCCAGTGGGAGTGTCAGAAGCAAACTTCTGGTGTTTTATTTAAGCCCTGATTAACCCTACACACTAGGAACCATGGCAGAGAGACAGATTATTTTAAAACACACTATACACCTTTGATACGCGTGCAGCTTGTTTTACAATCATTTGAAATACCTGCCTGTTGTAGAGATTCATATAGTAAATATTGTATTATGACACCAGGACCATGAATGTAAACAGCACAGATTAAAGCAGCAGAGATGGAGTAATAAGAATGGCATGCCTGCTGCAAATAAAGAGATCAAGTACATGGAACTGAAAATATGCACTATGACTCAACATTACCCTTGGCATTCTTTGTCAAAAGGAAACAGCAAAGATCATGCAATATCATTAACAGTCAAGAATAACCCAAAGGACTTGATAGCAGCATCCCTCACTCCCCTTGTCACTGCCAGTAATCCTGGACGGACTGATGGGGTACCCATCTGTCCTGGTCTTCATAAATGTAGGACTGCAAAAGCATGAATACAAAAGGAAGGAAGAAATATGAGGTAATAAATATGAGTTTATGAAAATGACTTTGTTCAAAATAAAAGCCATGTTTCCTTCTATTCAGTGATCCACTGTAGCTGCTGCACTTTAAACTCTTCCACTTCATCTGGTTGCACATCCTGTTTGGCCGTCGCAGAACCACGGTATCTTAAAACAGACTATTTGCCAAGTGATATCTGTTGCATAAAATATAGGAAGTTCATCACTACAGCAGGAACAGCCTAGGTTATCGTTTATTGTGTTTTAGTTTCAGCAAAACACACTTCTTTTCTTTGTGTTAAATGGCAGATTCCTCTAATTGAATTATGTAATTGATAATACACTGAAGGGTGAAGGGAAAGTGACGGAACCCCTTTCTCTAAGATGGGCAGCAAGTGCTCACAGTGCATGGAGTGCTGTTACAACAGCGCTTTTCCAATTAATGACTGCTAAGTGTCTCAGATGAAGGTCAGGCAGCTTGTTTCTATTAAGGAAATCAGAAAAGCTTGCTTTCTTTTCGCATCTCTGCACATATAATCTACACACATTCTTTTAGAGGCTAATTTTACATTTCATTCACGTTCACACATAGAGAAGAAAAAGAGTGTCTCTGTGCAACTTGTGTTTCTCAAAAACAGTAATAATAAACCCAAATATTTTAAGATGTATACCTGAAGAACACCAAGTTTCAAAAGCCAGCACTAACCACGAAGTCTGCTTCCCATTTATACCTACGCTACTTCTGTCAGTACTTGTTCTTTGCTCACATGGTCATGAGCTGTATCTCATAATCTTTCTTGATTTCACCTTATGCTTCCAGAAGTTCATCATAATCTTAACATACAAAGTACTCCACACTTTCAGTCCCACACACTCTTAACAGCAAATTTACCAAATTGCATTGAAATGTATGTTTTAACACAAATAAAAAAAGCCATCATAAAAATGAAGAAATGCTAAATCAAAATATTTTTCAAGTAAGACTTTAGATGTCTCTTTAGGAACATGTTGAGCAATTATTTTAAAAAGGCTTTTAGTTTAATTCAACATCCCTGAGGAGTGTAACAGTCTATCCTCCTTACCTTGACCAACCGGAGGAAACTGAATCTGAGTACAAGCAAGACCGGCAGGACATTATAAGAGTCCTCCTCTTATCCCAGAGAAATGAAAGGCTTATTCATTAAGGAGCATGTCGTAAATCCTATCTTTCAGCATCCCAAAGCACTTCAATTTTACACGTTCTTACTGCCTTACAAAAAGCTAAAAAAGAAGGGGGGGCTAGGGGAAAGAGAGAAGGGAAGGGACAGCAATGCCAAGCAGAGATCAAAGAAAGGTTCCATGCAGTATCCTACAAATATGAAATGTTTCAGTGGTTACATCTCCTTTCAAGCTACAGTTTTATGTAATCAGAAAATACTTGGTTGTGCTCTAGGAAAATATCCTGTATTTATTTGATTGATCCAAGGTCTGCAGCATTAAAAAAAAAAAAGAAACCAGCTTCAGCTAGGCTCACTAGTTAAGAGCATGTCCAATGTTTCCTTCAGCCACTTTAATGTTAGACTGAACTACAATGCTTCAAGTAAAGATTCTTTAAAAGAATATTCTTAATACTTTGGCTATACAAACTGTCATTCTAGACCAGACTGGTAAACCATTCTGGCAACAATTTGCACAGAGCAGCCAGCACCAGATATTGTTCTCTAGACACAAGAGGACTAATGTGGTATAACCTACCATATGGAATATGGCTGATATGGTATAACCTACTCCATAAGGCATTTAATCCTGTTATAAGTTGTTTTCAGGTATAGAGCAGAAATACTTTTTCTAGCTTGTTCAATTTGATTTGTGATTATTTTCAAATTTTTGTTTGTACTAATAGCTATGACTTTGGACAGTACTATTATATATATAAGCATCACAGGAGATTTACTCCTCTCAAATATCACCAGTAATGGTCACATCCAATTAAGTGTGAAATGGAAACCTGGCAAGTTACAAAATGACTCCATTTCATTGTACATGCCATCATTCTTAGGTGTGCAACATGGATGCTTCTGTCAATCTGTAAAATGAGGACTGCAGAACAAATCCCAACCTCCCAGCTACCTTGAAGCCATGACTACGTGGAAACTGGAAGCAATATGCTAAGAATAAGTTTATCTTCAATATGTTTGGATTTTACACCACAGTTCCTTAGAATTCATATGTAAGTAATCAAGAAGAATACTCTTCTTAAACTGAAGATTTTGTGGTATCAGCCATATACAGAGAAATAATTTCCAGAAGAACAGACTCAATCATATCTTCTTTTATATGACACTCAGCAGCCCAGAGGTTCTCTCACTTGACAAAGAAGCAGATAAAGCAACGAAGTGGTGGGTTTCTATTTTGGACTGTATCTCTGAGATTACTTTGAGCCTGCCTGCGCACATGCTTGCGCAGACCTCTGCGTCCATCTGTCAAAGGAAGACCTTGTGTGTTCTATATCTGCTTTTGGCTGCTTGCTACCCCTTACCTCCAGACCTTCCATTTTTGCCCGCACCAGTAATGGGATGCCTACATCAAAGAAACTAGCTGAGTACATGAGGATTAAATTCAACCTGCTTTCCATTTTTTTTTTTTCTGTTGGCAAACATGCATCAATCTTCCAGTAAAGTTATTTTAAAAACTATCTCCTGATTTGAGATCTACAGTACACGACAGACACCTGAGTTCACATCTATAAAACAAGACAAAGACAGAAACAACAGTCTGAAATACAAATCATCTAAAAAATAAGTTTGATTAAGATTTTGGGATTGAATTGTACTTTCCTTAAAGCTACATTCACTACTGGTGGTTTTAATGCTGGAACACCCGTATATACAAAGGAGTGCCCCCAGTCAAAAAAGGAAACAAAAGGCCTTATTCCTATCAAATGAAATATCATAAAGAGAACTGACTTACTAAAAGGCTCATCCTCTTGTAAGAAGACTCCCATTTCCATGCCAAATATTAATAAGTAGCGTAGGATTTCTAATTAGCAGCAGTTAATTCTCTTTTTTTTTATTGGATTCTGTAAGAGCACTCACCTGCAAGCCTACAGAACGCCACCTGAGCACAATCTGTGGTAAAACATCCCCACTTACCAACACCACACCTGGAGTCCCACCACAAGGCAGTCAAAACACTGACAGCGGTTTTACTGTTTCAGAAGGGCTTGAAACCCGCCGGTCCACCACCAGTCACCACAGCACAGCCCCAGGCTGGCAGGTGAATAGTTGTACTCAAATAGGTGTGCTCAAAAACACGTGCAAATCAAAAATGTGGGATACAGGCAATACATCCGTCATAACTAATGCAACTACCTACAAGGTCTAATACGTTGGTTTTTTTTTTTTAAGAAATTAACAGAATGAGCAGTGAAGGCTTCAAAAAGAAAGGGGAAAAAAAAAAAAAAAAAGACAACAGCCACTCCCAAGCACTAATGGGAAACGTACCACCACAGCTCCGAGCAGCTGGAAGTCAAGACTAACAGAATACCAACGCTTGACCGCTTTCCCTGGCTGGCCATCCAGAGGTGAAGACATGCCGGCACCGGAGTCCGGCGGGGCGCCGTGCCGTCCCCCCCGCCATCAGCCATATTCCCCATTCCGGGCGCGCCGCTCCCCAACCGCCGCTGTCCCTTTAAGCCGGACTCTATGACAAGCGGGAGTCAGCGGGCCCCGGGACGGCCGCCCAGCTCCCCCACCGCCGGCCCACAGCGGAGCCGGCCTCGCTTCCCTCCGCGGCAAACTTTGCCGGGAGGGAAGCTCTTCCTTCCCGCCCTCTCCCGGCGGGGAGAAAGGAAGGCTCGGCAGATAACCTCGACGCGCCCACCCCGTCAAGCAGCGGCAGGACAAGAGCTCCCCTCAGGGCCGCCGCAGACCGGCGGGGCTGAGCCAGACCCGGGTGTCCTGCCGCAAGCACCGGCCTCGGACAGCCCGGCCCAGCAGGGAGTGGGGCCGTGGAACGTGTATCCGGGCACGGACAACGCACCCAGACAAGGCGCGGGGCCCCTCCGCCAGCCACGGGACCGTCACCGAGACCGGCTCCCACCGGGGGGCTGGGGCGAAACACCGCAACTCCAACTCCCTCCTCCCACAGCCCCGCACATGAAACTCACGGAAGGGACCGGAGCGCAGCCGTGCCGTGCTGCCGCCTCCCGATCGAGCTACCTCCGTCCTGCTGCCGACGGCGGTGGCAACACCAGCATCTACCTTGAACAGTGGCCTCAAAGCCCCCTTCCTGCCGCCGCGGAGGCTCCGCCTCCCCGGACCGCCAGTCCCCCATTGCCCCGCCCCAGGGACGAGGAACCGCCCGCCCCACCCCGCTCGGGGACGAGGCGCCACTCACGTCTGCTTGCGCTGGTCTGCGGGCGGGGCTGGCAACGGGTTTGGGGGTGGGCCTCGTCACCGGTTTCGGTGTCGGTTCGGGTACCGGGGCCGAGTCCCGGCGTCTCGAGGCGCAGCTCATTGTGCAGCCGGCTTCCGGCGGTGGAGCCACTTGGTGCGGGAGCGGGGTGCGGGAAGCACTTTGCAGACCGGCGCGCTCTGGCGGGAGGGGATTTCAGTGCCCATCCGCCAGGCCCTGAGGCTTTGTACACCCTTTGCCTCGGGGAACAGTAACGGAGCCCAGCGGGCACAGGCTTTTGCTAGGATGGGAAAGTTTGTCCCGACTAGAGCCGGGGGAGTTTCGGCGGTGGAGCGGTACCCCGGGAGGTACTGACCGAAGATAGTGGGAAGCCAGAGTAAGGTAACCTCGGAGGGGTGCGTGCGAAACAGCACAAGCGGTTACCGGTGAAGGGAAGGCAAGGTGGGCATGCTGATCGCTTTTAGAAGCTGATCGAGCTGCGGTGCACTTGGGTGAGATTGCAGTGGAATTCATGCTGAAGCTTGGGCATGTCTTACAATGAGCTGTATGTTACCATGCTGATGCGTTGCTCAGCATGTCCGGCTGAGCAGGTTCGTGCAGGAGACCTGCACGGGTCAGCTGGGGGAGCTGTAGAATCATAAAATCATTGAGGTTGGAAAAGGTGTTTGAGATCATCAGGTCCAACCATAAACCCAGCACTGACAAGGCCACCATGACACTGCGTCCCTATGTGCCACATCTGCGTGTCTGCGCTGTTATTTTGGGGGCATTATAGTGAAGATTCTTTTGTTAAGCAAGACTCTTAACACTGCTCCGGAATACAAAAATACATATGGTAAAACATGATTCTGCCACCCTCAGGCTAAAGGAATACCTTGTTTTACAAGTAGAGCTACTGCCTTCTTTATGAAAACAAATTTGGGAAATTGGGCCTGTGGTGGGTGTTTCAGTACTTCTACGCAGGCTAGATATATTATGATGAACAATTTTCCTTATTCATATAAAATGCAAGATACACAGACTTAATGAATTCATTATTTGGTAGTCTTTAAAATATTTCCAAATTAAAGCACCTCAGTTTTTTTGTTTGATTTAAAATGCCTGAAAACTTGCCTTTATAGGGGATAGAACATAGCAAGCAATTAATGGTTAATGTGTCCCAAAGATGTTTTTGTTCTTTGAGGGCAGGAAATCCTATACTCTGTGAACAGAAGGGATGACTTACTGGCTCCAGCTGATGTGCAGAGTCACACCGCCGTTTCTCTGTAGAGGTCTGTTGTACCAGGCGCTTGTGTACGTTTGTGCCAGACTTCCCTTATGTTATCGATCTGGCTCATGAAACTGAATGCTGTAATTACAAAGGCCTGGTCTAAGGATTTCAGACCTCACCTTGAGCAAAGTGATTCAGTGCTACTTTTGTGAAATGACAAGCTGAGAGACCCATTTGTTGCCTAGGCAGGAGCATCCCAAAGGTCTGTCACCCTGCCCCTTTCATTCTAGCTAGGATGGTGTGGCATACAGAAAGAGGTGAAGCTTCACAGTCTCTCACTCCCAGGCGGTCTTGTCCTCTTCTAGTAATGTGTCCCATGCTAGCTTCTCTTGCACAAATTCTGTAATTGGTGTAGATTAATTTATATTCTCAGAACAATGTTAAGGAAAATATGGACAGTAATTTCACAGAACCATAGAATCATAGAATAGTTAGGGTTGGAAAAGACCTAAAGATAATCAGGTTCCAACCCCGCTGCGGCGGGCAGGGACACCACACATAAAACCATGTCGACCAAGACTCCGTCCAACCTGGCCTTGAACACTGCCAGGGATGGAGCATTTTGAAGGCCTTAGCATGTTCCCTGAATTAGAAAGTTCTGTTTTAAGAGAATATCAAATCCTGCAAACCCAGCCCTTTTTGTAAGTGCAGAACATCTGTCTTACAAGTATTCATAAAAGGACTAAAAATATTTGAAAAAAAAAGAAGAAAACATTGAAGAATTTATACGATCTACTCTTTGAAAAGTAATGAGGGAGTAGAGGAAACTTGGGCCCTACTAAAAGGTTGTTCTTTAAAGTTTCATTTTTTATTTTTTAAAGTTTTTTCTTCAAAATTAGAGAAAAGATATTAAAACCTCTGGTTGTTTTGTTTGTTTGTTTTTTTAATACTTCTGTATTGAAGTCATTAATTTGAGTAGAAACTGCCAACTCCTGTTTTTCATTATGGTAAACATATGGCAATCTACCTTAGACTTCATATTTAATGGCTGTCTAAATAATTCTACTGTATTTACCTCCATTTGCTCATATTGCTTTCATTACTTTGAGTGTTGTTTGAATGCTTTTTGACTTTAATTTCATTTATATTACCCATCTGGTGATCTCCATGCCAAGTGATTTTGTACTGCTTCACAAAGGCAATGAAAAATAATACATGAACATGTAGTGTTTAAATTTTGCTTCCTTTTCTGAAATCTGAAACTAGGCTTACAGTGCCTTTTTCTTAGAATATGATATTTCTAGCACAGAAAAATAAAACACATTTAAACTCTATTTTGTGACTTATTCTGTAACCTCCTAGTGTGAAGTGCAGAAAAATAAATAAACCTCACGCTGTGTCCCATAAGTAGAAAACTTCCTGTAAGACTGGCTTAACTGCATTGAAAAAGTGTTTCTCATCTTGTATGCTTAGTGTCTTTTTTAATTTCAATGACTTCCTGATTAAAACTGAAGTATTCTAAATTTTTTTTTTATTTCTTTTTCCATAAAAGATCACTTCTTGTAGCATTTCTGTAGGAAATAAAACAGTGTGGGGTTTTGTTTACTTTCCAAATCCTTTATTTAAATCAAGAGACTTCTGCATTAGGTCCTAATTCAGCAAGGATTTTAAGCATTTGGAAACGAGGTGCATGGTAAGCAACTAAATTCAGACCTCTCACATGAAAGTAATATCAAGTGATTTGTTTGTTATGGTTATGATCTCATGATAATATACTTGGACTTCCTTGTATGCAGGAATAAACTTATTTTAATGACCTGAGCTCTCGCATTGTGGCAAATGTATCTTTAAGGTTTTCATTATCCATGTCTGAGCCATGCAGGCAATGGCTACCTGCCATTTATAGATTTGAGAGAATGCATTTTTTAAATATGCTCAAAAAGCTTTTGAGTCATGCAGTCCTCTTGCTTATAGTTCCATAACACAATAATATTGTTACTGGCAAATAGCCATAATAAATATTAAATCATAAAGGTCAGTAGCATATATCTTGATGAAGTATTTTAGATAGATTGATTGATTACAGGTTTTGACCTCTTTTCTTTGAGCACCATTTACTCTATTTTTGCCACAGATACTTACTTCCTTTTTTCCTTTTTTTCAATTTTTTTTCCTTTTTTTTCTGTTTTTTTTCTTTTTTTTTCTTTTTTTTAGGCAAAACAAAATACCATCCTTCCTTTTATTCTTTAGCATGCATAAAAGCACAGACCACATCAGACACTGGAGAGCTGCATGGAGATTTTACTTTGCAAATGGAGCAGCATGCTGGCAGCATAAAGGATGAAAGTCTTTGAAGAGCTCTTTTGAGGATAGAAATCAGCCCACGATCTCCTTCAGGCTGCATTCTTATTCATCGTTATTTCCAAGGTTTTTTTTTCTCAAACACTCACCAAGATAAATTCCAATCATAAAGAGTCCCACTGAGCTGAGTATGTATTATATAGACATGTAACACAGCTATAGCTACTGCACTTTTTGTACCTCAGTATAATGCAAAAATACAACAAAACAAATGCCTTTACATTGGAGGCTTAATTTTATCCAGGCAAATGGAAATATGCCACAAATCCAATAACCTCAGCTAGCACCCTTAGCAAAACCTTAACTCTAGTGTCCAGTAAATGTTCTCTGCAGACTTTAGATGAGGTGAGCTTTTGGGGGCACTGCTACTTATATAATGTCTTTCCCATGAATGAAAGATGCACATCTCTAGCTCTGCTAGGCCAGTACTTAAAAAAATAAACCAGTAGCTCTTATCAATGTTTGGAGACAAATTATTTATAACACCGCATTATCTAGAGTGATGCCATGTTTTACTTACCATTGAGAATGGTTTGTAATATAGTTTCAGAAAATAAAATACCTCTATCTCATGTATCTGTGTATTGTTATCCTACATGCACACTAGCATTTGGATCTTAAAGTATAAGAGAAATCTGACATGGCTGAATATATGTACGAGTGATTACTGGTGCTCCGATGCAGGTAATTCAGTTAGTTATCATTAATCTGAATACACTAACTCAAATAACTTTCCTTGGAAAAAGTATCTACATTTCTCCTAATGCTTTTTGTATGTCATTAAATTATCTTACTTTTACCCCTTTGTCTGTGGGATCTTTACATAGGTCTCACTGAAAGATTGTGGGTTTTTTTCATGTACTTACCATTTTTTTGCTTGTTTTCAGACAAAAAAAATAAAAAAATTGTCAGATGTTTATGGTAATAATGAAAAGAAACTCACAAAACATATTAAGTGTATTTGAACTAGACCTTTGACTCCATCTTTAAATTGTTTCCTAAGAATTTGGTGTAGGAAAACAGTGGCTTGATGTTTATCATTTGTACTTAATTGTGTTAAACAGTGACTGATGGTAGATAGCAGCTCACCACTAAATTCTGCCATATCTACTGAGAGAATCATAGAATCACAGGCTGGTCTGTGTTGGAAGGGTTCTTAAAGCTCAACCAGTTCCATCCCCCTGCCACTGGTAGCGACATCCTCCACTAGACCAGGTTGCTCCAAGCCCCATCCAACCTGGCCTTGGACACTGCCAGGGATGGGGCAGCCACAGCTTCTCTGGGCAACCTGTGTCAGGGCCTCACCACCCTCACAGGGAAGAACTTCCTAATACCTAATCTAAATCTACCATTATTCCTTGTCCTATCACTACTTGCTTTTATGAAAAGTCCCTCTCCATGTTTCTTGTAGCCCCTTTAGGGACTGGCAGCTGCTCTGAGGTCTCCCCAGAGCCTTCTCCAGGGTGAACAAGCCCAGCTCTCCCAACCTGTTTCCAGAGCAGAGCTGCTCCAGCCCCCTGATCATTTTCATGGCCCTCCTCTGGACTTGTTCCGGCAAGGGAGACCTGAAGACTAAGCTGCAGATACGGTTTCTAGTGAGATACATCACTCTAAAAGTCAGTATTTCCTAGTGCATGAACACTTGTTTACAGAAAGAGAAGTAACGGTAAACTTTAAAATGTTTCGAGAAATCTAGCAGTAGTCGTTTCTGCTTGTTGGAAGATAGAGCTGTTGCTACATTCTAATTATTTAAGAAGTACTTCTGTTACCCGATTTCAAGGTAAAGCTACAGTAATCTCAGATTTCAGAAAACTAACCACAAGCACACTGAAAATAAGGAAGGTCATGTGGGGTTTTTTGTTTGTTATGAAACCTTGAAAAAAGAGCACCTAGAGACAGGAGATGAAAGGAGATAAAGGAAGTAATGATAACAAATTGTCCTTTGTATATACTTTCGTAATTGACTATACATCTGAATGATTTGCCTAGAATAAGATGAAATCTGCCAGCAAAGTTTACTAAACAAACAACAATTATTTAACAAACTTTTAGAGGCTATTTATTCTGTGCTAAGGTTGCTTTCTTTAAAACTGCATCCAGGAAAACACAAACAGAAAGGACACTCTTGAAGCCAGAGCAGATCGTCCTGTAATGTAAATAAGCCGATGCATGTGTTAAAATGTGGGAAACAAATACTGGAAAATAAACAATTGAAAAAGTGGCCACATTTAGCCATGATTTATCGAGGGGTAAACTTTCCAGTGTTGTGCCAGGCATAAAGCACTATTTTACGGGCTGACTCATGCATCCACACCTGTTGAAAATCCAGATAGCTGGATTTGTCATAGGCTAACTCATGGTGAGCTCCTTACAAGCTAATCATTACATTCAGGCAATGCAGAATATCACAAAATTTAATATTCCAGATGAGAATGTAGTCTCAAAATGAACATTGAGGGGATTTTTCAGCCACAGATACATAATATGACCAAGAAGGATTGTGTGCTACAACAAGCTGTGGTGGGAAGTGGAATAGTGGATGCCAGCTCTTGCTTTGCTTCACTCCGTAAAATCAATCATCTGTTCAAAATTAATGAGAAAGAATGAAGTTATGACACCAGTAAGAGAGACAGCGAAAGAAATGAAATGGTTCTATTTAATATTTACTTAGTACTTCAGGTTTATTACTGAGTATCTAAATAGTAACTGAGCTTCCCCATTTCTACCATGTTCACAGAATCTGGTAAAGTCTGAATGCCATCCAGAAGGACCTGGACAGGCTGGAGGTGGGCTCCTGAAAACTCATGAAGTTCAACAAATGTAAGGTCCTGCACCTGGGTCAGGGCAATTCCAAACACAAATACGGGCTGGATGGAGAATGGATTGAGAGCAGCCCTGAGGAGAAGGACTTGGGAATACTGGTGAATGAAAAATTGGACATGAATCAGTAGAACTTGCAGCCCAGAAACCAACCATGTGCTGGGCTGCATAAAAAGAAGCATGACCAGAGGTTGAGGCAAGTGATTCTGCCCCTCTGCTTTGCTCTCTTGAGGTCCCACTTGGAATACTGAGCCCAGCTTTGGGGTACCCAGTGCAAGAAAGATGTGGACCTCTTGTAGTGGGTCCAGAGGAAGGCCTCAAAAACTGGTCAGAGACTGGAACACTTACAAAGAAGGGCTGAGAGAGTTGGGGTTGTTCAGCCTGAAGAAGAGAAGGCTCCAGGGAGATGTTATTGTGGCTTTTCAGTACTTTAAAGGGGCTTATAGGAAACACAGAAAAAGGTGTTTTAACCAAGGCCTGTAGTGACGGGAGATGGGGCAACTGTTTTAAATTGAAAAAGGGGAGATTTAGATAGATATAAGGAGGAAATTTTTTTACAGTGAGGGTGGTGAGACATGGGAACAGGTTGCACAGAGAAGTTCTGGATGCTCCATCCCTGGAAGTGTTCAAGTTGGATGGGGCTTTTGAGCAACCTGATCTAGTGGAAGGTGTCCCTGCTCATGGCAGAGTGTGAGGTAAGTTAGAATTACATGATCTTTGAAGGTTCCTTCCTACCCAAACCATTCTGTGATTTTATGATTCTGTGATTCTATGATTCAGTTATTTTAAGACTTGCTTAACTTATTTTCCTTATTCCTCTTTAACCCAGAATTGATTTGTCCCTTAGTGAGCAAAAGAGTCATTTGGAAGCATGTCAGAAAGCAGAGGTCTCAAACTATTCCCATTTTCCAGGCAAAGGAAGCAGGATCCCACCACTGTGAAATGTTTGAGGATGGTGTGCAAACTACTGTTTCTTGAAATGAGAGCAAACAGTTCGGACATCCACTCTGTCATCTAATGAAGGAACCCATCCATTACTTGTGGTCTCTAAAACCAGAGGTCTAACCAAATTTTTTCAGTCAAATTTATTCCGTCCTCTCTAAACAGAGTATTACAAATGCATTTAATCCTTAAAACTGGAATACATCTTTCCCTTTCTTATAACCTATTTACTAATTTTCTGGTTCACTTTCTTTATATCTGATTGATATTTGCCTCCCTGAAAATTCTTCCTGGTAGCATGTCCAACCAGATTAAGAAAACAGCATGAGAAAATACTGAGATCTGGCAGATGGCCTTTAGGTTAATGGCTAGATATTTCTTTGGAGAGGTCACTGTCCCACAGTGAACAGTGATCATCTTACGGAGAATGATAGCAAGCCACTGAGTGAATTTGTAATATGTCAGGGATGTGACTCCAGCAGCATGCCACCGAAACCAGTTTTTTCCTGACTTACATGCAGATAGCTATGCAAAATGTGTGAACCTACCTGAGATTGCCTCAAATATGATGCCGTTATTTCTGTGGCCAGCAGATGAGGATTCCAGAAACAGAATCCTTTCTCTTGATTGTGCAACAGCAAGTAATAATATATGAGACTAGATTTTTACCTTTATATATGATTCTTCTGAAATAATTAAACGTTGGACTACTAGAGCTAGGTTGGTTTTAATTCATTTTAATTTCTAACATTGTAACAGATGAGCCATTCATATTATATATCTGGAGTCCTCTAAATATAAATAAAAAGGTAAACAAAAAAGTTTAACTCCATTCCGCAACCCGTTTTAACTCTAAACATAAAACCTGATTACGAATTACCTGTTTGCATGTGGAAATGCTGGAGTAAATGCTAATAAAAATTTAGTTAATGCTGTTAGTGCCTTCCTAGTCAAAGATGTACAATCAACCACAATCAAAATGAGGTTTTGTTTTTGTTTTGTTACACATAACATGAAATCAAAGTACCTATCCCTTGTGAGATACCTATCCTTGTAGATTGCAATTTTTTCCCCTTCTGTTTTTTTCTAATCCTCTTGGAAATAGTAATGTTTCCTTTTCTTGTAAGATTGGCTGTCAGTCTACATTCCTTATAGTTTATAAATTAAGAAACGATATCCAATTTGTTCACTGATTGGTGAAAGATCTGCTATATTCGATGAGAATATTCACATGGCAATGAAGATTTGTCATCTCCCCAAAGATAACTGCTTTTTGAAGTACCACAGTAATTGCTTCAATTACTTTAAATTCCTTTGGCATTTTGTACAAATTCCTAAAAGTGAATGAACAATGCAAATGTGGGAATGTTTCAGAAGTGTTATTACATGTAAATATTCTGTGCATTCAGAGCGATGTTTGTGTAAATACTTGTACTGTATTCCTCAGTCTCTGTGTCAAAATGGTATCAAGCACAACCACATCTTCAGTCAACCTAATGCAGCAGAGATTTAATGACTTACATCATGGCAGCTACGTATTATGGGTAGTTCTAGCAGGAGCCACAGTTCCCTATTATACAAAAGAGGTGTAGGTAGAAAATTAGGTACACTGCTGATGACAGGCTGTAGTTGCCTGAGCAATGATAACTCAACTAATAGCAATTCTTGTGACCTTGTGGTTTCTTTCTTTTTTTTCTCTCCAAAAATTGGTGAGAAATATTCGTCACAGTCTTAATAAATCTCTTCCATGTCATGAACTGTTTCAGGGGGAACCTAGATGCCTCCTTCACAGCCGGC